AGAGTAGCTTCCGTACCCCATTCGTAGGTAGAAAGGGGTGTAGTCCTACAAGGAGGACGATGCCGTCATGACGCTAGACTGGAGGGAAAGACAGTACCGATTGTAGTCCCAGATGTCCACAGTCTCCCCAGCAGTGGCTAGCATAGAGCTCTTACCCCAATGGGCATCGATCGACGACAGCATAGAAGACTGGAAATTAACAAGTCCACTGCTCTCCAAGAGCACTAGTTATTACCGAGTTGAGAACGTGAGCAGGCACAACCTGGTCGTTATGGAGAGATGCCGATGAGCCCGACTGAAGGGCTCCGACGGTACTGAACTTCTCATCAAGCATCTCCCCTACCGCCTCATCTGGGTCGAATCTATAATTGAGCATCGTCATCAGCGATAGTAAAACTGCTCCCAATACTACTTCCACAGTTTGATAGTCTTGTCCTCACCAGCGCTGACGACGAGGGAGTCATCACTAGTAGTACACAGGCCACGAACGAAACCTTCGTGAGCTCGCACTGACTTGAAGCACCTCCGCTGACCGACGTTCCAGAATCGTATCTGAAGAGGTCATGTGATGAAGCCTGATCTCTCTGGAGTACCTCGCCATCGCAACTGCCAGTGAATAGAGGTGCTATCACGGTCCTGCATCTGGTCATGCATTTAACGGCATCAGTGTGGCCCTCTAGGGCACAGAGGAACGGCTTGGCGAACATCTTCTGTATCTTCGCTCCATTCAAGGCTCGGGTGTATCTATGAAAATCTACGATACTACGTCACCACTTTCTGGACGCCATCATTACTCAGTGGCTCGGTCGAATGGGTGCAAAACGGGATCCGCGTTGCGCTGGTATTTTTGTATACCGCCCGGCTTGGTAATGGTATACTCGGAAGGATCTCGATGTAGAACCTTGACCTTCATCGACGGGAAATGTCAACTGGTCGGAAGGGAACTCCTCCTCGCTTTAAGCAGGAAGGGCTCTGAGCGGATCCAGTACGGGACATACATGCCCATGAGTCCCCAAGTATCCAGAGGA